GGTTTCTGGGATTTGATTCTGAAAAAGCCTGACCCAAACATTTGGAGATGACAAGTACTCACTGGCCGAGGAGGTGCTCACCAACATGTGCTCCCGGCCCATGCAGGTAAGGAGGGCAGCCGGCCATGCAGGTAAGGAGGGTCCAGCCCCGTCCTCGCCGGCTCCCGGGAGCACACTGGCCCCAGACCACCTGTGACCTCCCGTGCAAGCACAACCCACCACCATTCCTGCCCTGCTCTGGACGGCTGGGTGAGCCAGGCTGCTCCTCCGCTGCCCGGAGGGTGGGAGAGGAGAGAGGCCGACCCCGGCCGCTTCTAGGAGGGGCACCGCAGAGCCTCTTGAGTTTGAACCGCTGCCTCCTGCTCAGACTTGCTCAGAGACAACCTGCCTTAGAGCTGAGGCTACCGAGACCTCCTGTCAGGCTGTGGTCCTGGAGGAGAAGACAGGTCAAATGTGGCTTCCTGTCCGGGGAACACTCCCACAGCCTCCACCCCGTGGAGTCCAGAACCAGCCCTGTCAGCCTCTGGCCAGTGTGGGAAAAACAGACTTGGCAGTAGGCCTAGGCCTGGGCACTGCAGGGAGGTGGCAGCCTGTGGGGTGGACAGCTGACTTGCTCTGGGACGCCTGTCACATCCCCCAGGCCCAGGCTTCACCCGTGCAGAGACCTGAGCATCCTGGGACCAGGACCTAAAGGACCCTCAGGCCCAGCCCGGGGGCAGTGGGTGCTGATGAGTCAGCTCTGGGCCCAGCCCAGCCCAGGGGCAGGGACAGGCTGTATTTCGGGGCTTGGTCACACAGCAGATTCAGTCTGTTCTCAGAACTGGATGGCTTCAATGACCAGTGGTTATTTTCTGATGCTTCCAAGCTCTGCTGAGTTTGAAGCCATCAGGAAGCCTGCTTAGGCTTGCGCCTGACTTGCCCCAGTCACAGTGTCTGCCAGCCAAGCACCTACAACACCCACAGCTGAGAGGACTGGGCTGTGCCTGCGGGGCTGTCTGTGTTCTACACTCCAGTGGCTCTAGGCCTGGCAGAGAAGGCACAGCAACCCCTGAGTCCCAGAACTGCCTCTGGCTCTGCCCTGCTAGAGGCCCTCCCATGCCCCTGCCTCTAAGCGCTGCCCATCGCATCAAGGTACAAGCCAGGCTGGAGTTCCGGGATCAGAGCCGCTCGAGTCAGCCAGAGCCTGAAAAGGCTGCATTCTCTGGCTGCGCCTGCCAGGAGCTCGGGCGCCCTTGCCTGGGAATCTGATGGCAGCGAGTCACCAGAAGGTCTGCAGTTGCTCTGTTCCTTGGCCCGGGGAACTGCGGTGGGGACAGGGCAGGGCAGCAGCAGAGAGCACAGAAAGCTGTGAGGGGGCACGCAGTCCCCAGTGAGCTTCTGTCAGGACCTCAGGGCTGTGGGTACAGCTGGGCCTGTGGAAAGCCATGATCCCCACCCCCGGTCCACCCACCCTGAGCCACCTCCACCAGCCAGGAGAGGGCCAGGAGCCTTTCTTCAAGCCTCACCCAGGTCATCTGAGGACACAGGCCACTGCTGAGAACAAAGCCCAGGTGTGTCTGGGGTGACTGTGCCCACCTGCCCCCGGAGACTTGCCCCCAGCAACCCAGGGCCTTGGGTGCTGGAAGGGAAGTGGAGTTAGGGAGCCAAGCAGGTCACCACCAGCTGTGCCCTGGATTCCAGGGCCCGTGTGCACAGAGTAGCGAGGCCGGCTGTCTGTCTGGCCAAGGGCACAGGAGGGTGAGTGTGTACAGCAGCCAGGGAGCAGAGACCAGCGAGACACACCGGAGTGACTTTGGACCTCTGCGGGAACCCGTTCACTCGCTCCCAGGCAGCAGCACTGGCCTTGACACCCAGCCCTGAGAGCTGGGGGGACTGCAGAACTAAGCAGCTTCAGTGACTGTGGCCCCAGCTGGGTGTTCAGTTTTTGTGTGCTGGTCCCTAGAGACTCTGGGTATCTCCCGTCCCAGCCCCTGCCTCTGCCCAAACAAAGGGCCTCTCTGGAGCTCTGCCTCTGTGTCTCAGCCCCTGGGAGGGTCAGATGGTTGGAGATAGAGAAAGGGAAGAAGCCAAGTCTGACAGGCTGAAACTGCCTCCGTGGCTGCTGTGGGGGTGGAATATTTAACAGGCACGCAGAGGTGCCCAGGTGAAGTGTGGCTTCAGCTGGACAGGATCAATGCCAGAGGACATTGATGAGGACAGCCCGACCAAGGTGGGCCTGGGCCAGAGAGGCGCCCAGGAGCCTGAGGCCCGTATTGCACAAGGCAGGGGGTCCTGGGTTTTCTCTCCCTCCTCCCACTCTGGCCAGATGGGAGGATGGGCCGTTGCCTCCTTGAACAAAGACCCACAGGGCTCCTTAGCTACTGCAACGTATCTCCAGCAGACACTGTCTTCGGCGGTGCAACAAAACTGCAGAGCCGCCGCCTCCTGCGTCATCATCCACCTCCACAGTGCCGTTCCTTCTCTTCCTCCTCCTCCTCCTCCTCGTCATCATCCACCTCCACCACCACTTCCTCCTCTTCCTCCTCCTCCTCCTCATCATCATCCACCTCCCACACCGCCACTTCCTTCTCTTCCTCCTCCTCCTCCTCCTCGTCATCATCCACCTCCTACCACTTCCTCCCTCTTCCTCCTCCTCCTCCTCATCATCATCCACCTCCACCACCACTTCTTCCTCTTCCTCCTCCACCTCCTCCTCCTCCTCCTCATCATCCACCTCCACCACCACTTCCTCCTCTTCCTCCTCCTCCTCCCTCCTCATCATCATCATCCACCTCCACCACCACTTCCTCTTCTTCTTCCTCCTCCTCCTCATCATCCATCACCTCCACCACCACTTCTTCTGTTCCTCCTCCTCCTCCTCCTCATCATCCACCTCCACCACTTCCTCCTCTTCCTCCTCATCATCATCCACTTCCACCACCACTTCCTCCTCTTCCTCCTCCTCTTCCTCCTCCTCATCATCATCATCCACCTCACCACCACTTCCTCTTCTTCCTCCTCCTCCTCCCCTCCTCATCATCCACCCTCACCACCACTTCTTCCTGTTCCTCCTCCTCCTCCTCATCATCCACCTCCACCACCACTTCTCCTCTTCCCTCCTCTGCCTCCTCCTCCCTCATCATCATCCACCTCCACCACCACTTCCTCCTCTTCCTCCTCCCCCTCCTCATCATCATCCACTTCCACCACCACTTCCTCCTCTTCCTCCTCCTCCTCATCATCATCATCCACCTCCACCACCACTTCCTCTTCTTACTCCTCCTCCTCCTCTCCTCATCATCACAGCATCCACCTCCCACCACCACTTCCTCCTCTTCCTCCTCCTCCTCCCTCATCATCCACCTCCCACCACCCTTCTTCCTCTTCCTCCTCCTCCTCCTCATCATCCCACCTCCACCACCACTTCCTCCTCTTCCTTCTCCGTCCTCCTCCTCCTCATCATCATCCACCTCCACCACCACTTCCTCCTCTTCCTCCTCTTCCTCCTCATCATCCACCTCCACCACCACTTCCTCCTCTTCCTCCTCCCACCGTCGCCCGCCTCCTCCTCATCATCCACCTCCACCACCACTTCCTCCTCTTCCTCCTCTTCCTCCTCCACCGTCGCCTCCTCCTCCTCCTCCTCTGCCACCACCACCTCCTCCTCCTCCCTCCTCCTCCTCCACCATCGCCTCCTCCTCCTACTCCGCTGCCACCACCTCCTCCTCCTCCCTTACCTGCTTTCTTCTTCTTCTTCCTTCTTCCTGGCGTGTGCATGCCCAGCCCCATGCTGGGAAGGAGTAGGCAGAACTCTTCCTCCTGGTGGTGCTCAGCAGTAACTCAGCAGGGACTGGACTTGGGAGGCTCAGCTCGTGCCCCCTACCCTGACAGCATCCTGGGGTTCACCGGCTCTCTGGTCCTCAGCGGGGTGGACCTGTCCCGAGCCATTCTCAGTGCTGCCACCTTGAGGGCATCTGGGAGGCAGGTAGGCAGATTTGTCTCCTGAAAAGGACTTGGGCACCAGGCTCTGCCCAGCCTCCTGGTCTCCCCTTGGGTCCCCTTGTGCAGCAAGAGCCCTGGCCCCAGTCCTCCCTGGCTTCACTCAGCAGCCAGCAGCCCATCAGGTCTGTGCACATGCTGCCAACAGTGAGGCTGTGGGTGGTGCCGGCCCCTCTGGGCCTGGCCAGAGGCTCTGACCCATCCTGTCCCACAGATGGCACTGTACTTCTGCTCGGGGCTGCTGCAGGACCCGCGCCCAAGTTCCGGCACACTACGCAGCTCAACGTGCCCCTGTACACACACTTCACCTCGCCCATCCGCCGCTTTGCCGATGTCCTGGTGCACACGCCCTCCTGGCTGCTCGCTGGGTGAGGGATGTGATTGGGGCCAGGGCAGACCCTGAGCTCTTCCAGGGCTGCCCATCCCCTGTGGTGCTCGGTGGCCCAAGACCACTCTGCGTGGTAGCGGAGGTCAGGTGGGCTGACCCAAGCATAGGGAGCCTGATCTGGGAAACTCCCCTACGGGCCGGTGCTGCAGCTGCATGGGGCCCACAGCCAGCCTGGACACGGCCAGGAGGAGGCGCTGACCTCAGAGGGTAAACTTTCTGCTGCCCTGGGAGCTGGGTGCTGGGGTCTAATCTGTTGCGGTGCATGCAGCCCATCCCCAACCATAGCTCTTCCCAGCCCCCAGGCTCCCACCCCTCATACCTTGCTCTCCCCCATACAGCACCACCCACCACCCTGCCCCCTCTTCCCAGGCTGCGGAGCAATAGACATGGCGCGCCCGATACCCTGCAGAAGCAGAGCGGACCACTGCTGTGACCGCCCCGCATGGCGTCAAGCGGCGATGGGGAGCTCAGCACCGGTCTCTTCTTTGCACGTTCTGGTCAAGGTGAGCCCTCCAGCCTGGTGCCCCTCACCTCCTCTGGCTCCGACCACTCCTGGGCACCTCACTCACCAGGAGGCCTCGAGGAGCCTAGGGCAGTGCCAGGAGGTGCCATGGCTGCAGCACTGTCCCTGCAGGAGAGTGGCCCTGGAGTCCAGAAGCCATGGTGATGGGCGTCTGAACAAGCCTTGACGTGCTGGTGCTGCGCTACGAGCGTGCAGAAGGCGCATCTACTGCAACGTGAGTGCCTGGGAGAGCCCAGGGGGTGGGCGGGGCAGCCCGAAGCCATCCCACACTGGAGGGTACAGGCTGTGATGGGTCCACGCCTCACCCTTGCTCCCCAGTCCTAGCACAAAGCCCACCTGATGGGCCTTTTGCAGAGGCAGCTCTCCCGCCTGGGATGCTGGCTCCAGGTCAGGGTCAGTCTGGCCCCCTTCCCCCAAAGGACCCAGGGCCAGAGATCAGGCCCCTCCGCATGGCCAGTACAGCTCGGCAGGGTGTGCAGGCTTCGGGGACTGTGTTTACAGGAACGTGAAGGCCAGCCAGAGAACAGTCATGGCTGCTCTGGAAACTGTCCCCCTGAAGACAAGGAAGAGAGCTGTCCCTGGCTTGGCTCTGCCTGAGTGACTGTTGATTCACAGTTCTCCAGGGGCGTGGGCCTGTCCTAATGCCGCCTTAGGGGCTTGGCTCCAGCTGGCCCTGGGGTCTGCGGGTCACCACCTGGGCCACTGTGTCACAGCTTTGAATTTCTAATATCCAGAGTGCCTGGGAGTACAGTGTCAGCCGTTGTGTGCAGTAAACGTGGTGTTCCTAACCTGGAGCTGGGCAGAAGAGGAAGGACAGAGTCCCGATGCGCTGTGCCGGGACTCTGTGTCCTAGGATTCAAGCCTGGGTCACCCTGCTGGGCCAGCCCTGCCTGCACTAACAGATGGCACCAGCAGAAGCGCAGCGCTCTGCTGCCACAGTTCTCTGTCCCCACCTCAGTGCAGTCAGCCCTGGACGCCCCCACCACTTGCCCGAAATAGCAGGCAGAGCCATGGCGCCCATTTCCCCACCCCTGGCCCTTGGTCACTTTCAACTGCTGCCTCAGCCACAGGTGGCCTGGCAGGGCCTCCCTGAAGCTCCCTCCAGCCAGGCAGGGGGTGGGCCAGGCCGAGGACTGAGGCCGCCTCCAAGCGATGAAGCCCTCCAGGGTGGAAGGCCAGGCAGCAGCAGAGCTGAAGCCTGAGGCTTGGTGTTGCACTCCATCAGCCACAGGTGGCCTGGCAGGGCCTCCCTGAAGCTCCCTCCAGCCAGGCAGGGGTGGGCCAGGCCCGAGGACTGAGGGCCGCCTCCAAGCATTGAAGCCCTCCAGGGTGGAAGGCCAGGCAGCAGCACCCAGAGCTGAAGCCTGAGGCTTGGTGTTTGCACTCCAGGCATTGGCCCTGCGGTCCCACCACTTCCAGAAGGTGGGAAAGAAGCCGGAGCTCACGCTGGTCTGGGAGCCTGAGGACATGGAGCAGGAGCCAGCACAGCAGGTCAGAACCCCTCTGTGTCCCAGCTCCCCAAGTCCTGATGGCCCCTCTCCTGCCTCCTGCGGTGCCCCTCATTCCCTCATCTGTGTCCCCTGGGCTCCCCCAGCACTGCAGCCTCCCGGTGGGGTTTCAGGGCCCTCAGGCCCTCCTGGCTCACCCAGACCCCTCTTGAAGGTCCTGCTTTCTGGCACCACCTTCCCTTCCTTGGGGGCAACCACAGTGGAGAGAGAGGCGGGGCTCTGCCTGTCCCTCTAATGCAGGGCTGCTGGCCTTCTGGGGTCCTTTTAAGAACCTGATAAAAGCTATGAATTTACAAGCAAAAAATTGTCTGGAACCGTTTTCACCAACAATGTGCCCTGAAGGTGGACCCGGGACCCCAGGTTGTGTTTCATAAGCCTTGGGAGTACTCAGGATGCATCTGACTCCCCAGCTCTGCCCTGACCCAGAGCGTTCTTCCTGGAGGGGACCCCCATTACAGACAGGCAAGCAGAGGCTTCCAGAGGCCAAAGGAGGGACCTAGGGTCCTGCTGCAGGGATGGAGGCAGAGCTGCGCCTCAACATCAGGCCCTGCCGTCCTTGTCCCCTCACGGCCGGGCTCTGCACAGGTCATCACCATCTTCAGCCTGGTGGAGGTGGTCCTGCAGGCAGAGTCCACAGCCCTCAAGTACAGCGCCATCCTGAAGCGGCCAGACACCCACGGCCACCTGGGCCCTGAGAAGGAGGAGGAGGAGGAGGAGGAGTCTGATGGTGAGCCCGAGGACTCAAGCACCAGCTGAGCTCTGCCAGCCGCCTGCCCCACCTGCCTGTCCTGCCACACTGGCTTTAGGAACAGGACCTATTGACACAGAGGGGGATTTTTACTTTGGTTTTTAACAACTCAGGGGTTTGTTTTTACTTTTATTTAATTTTTACAGCTCAACTTTTAAACAACCTGCAGGGGAGAGGGTGGGGCTGGAAGGAAGGCTGAGGCCTGGTCGGCAGTGACCCCAGCAGAGCGGGCCCCAGTCCTCCTGGGAGGCCGGCCCCCCTTTTTTCTGGGCCCTACTGCCCTCCTCTGCCCAGGAAATGGGGGGTTTCTGCAAATCAGTGTCACAGAATAAAATCAAGTGTGGAGTGCCATCTGGTGTGTGAGGCACCTCTGGGAAGCCTGGGCAGTGGAATGCCCCTTGCACCAGGGCAAGGGACCCAGCTCAGGCTCCACCCCTCGCTGCTGAGCCGATGTCACCACCCGGAACCTTCCTGTCAGTTCCAGCACGATTCAGAGTCGGCTACGTGGCAGATTGATGCTGGAGTCTCATTCTGCCTGGTTAAAAATGGAATTAGTATGCAGGAATTAGTGCTGAGCGCCCTGTCACCCTGGCGCATGTGACTGTCCAACCCTGCCCCTTCCTCCTGCACCAGCTGTGCAGGGCCTGGTGAGGACCATGGGTCCTGCAACACCCTCTCCCACAGTTCCTCAAGCAGCACTCTGTGAGCCTGTGCCCAGCTCTGGTGTGAGTTGGTGCCCTGGCAGCGCTAAGGAGACTGGACAGAAGCTGGCCTGGGCCTGGTAAGAGGAGGAAGGGCCCTCAAGTGGGTTCCCAACCAGGAGAAGCCGGCTCCTGGTGACACATCCTGGCCCATTGCCCACCCAGTGTCAGTACCCACCCGGATCCCACCTGCCTTGGGTCCCGGGCAGAGCTGGCCGGCCACTGGAGCAGTCATACAACCAGCCCGACCCCAGCCTGCCCTCCCTTCCCCTCCGTGAAGCTCCGTGCTTGGCTTCCCCAGGAAACTGCCAGAAACTAGGATGAAAGCCGCAGTGAGCACGGCCCTCTGCTCCCCGCACCATGTCCTGGGGTGTTCGGGATTAACAAGCTCATTTGATCTGGTTACAGTGAATTTTCTTCAAAGAAACACTCATCCCGGGTCCCTTGTCAAGTGCCTGCATAGCGCCTGAGCCGATGGTGACTGGGCCGGCTGCCTTTGTTCTGCCACTGTCAGACAGAATTGGCTGTAGGAGGCGTCAAACGTCCGCCCCTGCTCTTGGAGCCTTTCCCTCCTCCAGAGCTCAGCCACCTCAGGCGGCCTTCCAGTCTATGCGTCCTGCCACCCCGAGATGTCCCAGAGGCCACGGTCACCCCATCTGTTCCTGCCCCAAGACAGCCTCCTGGAGCCAAGTATCTGCGGGGACAGACAGCAGAAACATCTGGGGTTTGGTGCTGGGGTGTAGAAGGCTGTGGGGTGCTGCCCTGCCCCAGGCAACCTGACTGTGAGCCCCAAACCTGGGAACATCAGCCCTCCCCTCTACCTGCCCACCCTCTGAGGAGCAGTGGCCAAGTTCCTCTCTCAGCCTCAGGCCAGCTGGCCCCTGTCCCCCAGGGCCTCCCATGAAACCTGGGAGCTATTCCCTCACAGGCAGCACAGACCTGGACGGACACCTGTCCCTACACCCCAGCGCCCCCAGGCCCCAGTGAGCAGCAGGGGGTGAACAAGGGGTTCCTGCAGGTACTGGGCTCAAGGTTCTTCAGACAGCCTCGCCTTCCTGCTGGCCCAGGCATGGCAGATCCCTGGAGCCGTGGAGCCATGGCAGCCCCAGCCCAGCCACCCCACCCCATCCCATCTGGGAAGTGGAAATCATATCCACGAGGGTCAGGTCAGGTCTCTGCCTACAGTGACCTGGCAGTTTTGTACCCAGCTAGGGCCTGGAGTCAGGCCCAGGCTGCCCCCACACCCTACCCAGAGCTCAGAGAAGACGGCCCAGCCTTCTCCCCGTGGTGGTGCTGAGCCAGCGTCTGCGTTCACTCCTTTAAGGAATGTGGTTGACTCAGTCCGGTGCTGCACGTTCACGGGATGGCTCTCCATGGAGTCCACTGGGAGCCCAACCTCATATGTGGCCCCTCGCTAAAGGACTCAGCAGAAAGAGTGACCAGGCACTGACCCTCGTTTGCAGGAAGACTTGTCCATTCCTGGGCTGTCCCACAGCACCTGCGGCCAGAGCCCAGGGCACAGAGCGAGACTCTGTCTTTTCCTCAAGAGCACCGTGGGGAGGGGAGAGGTAGACACCACCAACCTCATCCCATGACCAGGGGCTGGCGACGCTCAGAGGCCCGTGAGTGTGTGCTCCACCCCGAAGGGTCAGTGCAGCTCCCTGGACCCAGGGGAAGATGGCGCGAGGCGGTGGCCCGGCCTGGGGAAGGAACTGAAGCCACCCTCCTGGAGAGAAACTGATGCCTCCCCAGTTCCTGTTAGGAAGGACCTCAGGAAGAACTGCAGGATCAGGCAGCCTGGGGTGGCGGCCTCCTGGCCCCTGAGGAGGATGTCAGGCCGCAGAAGGGAGGGGATGGGCATGAAGCTTGGGAAGGAGTGCCAGAGGGAGAGCAAGGCTGTGCAGAGGCAGCACCAGAGGCCACTGCAGCTCCACCACCCAGCAGCGCCACCCACCCCGAGTCAGGGAAGTGGGAGGCCAGGCAGGAGAGGGCTGTGATGGCTCCCAGGTGCCCAGGAGGAAGGGCTGGGGACAGTGCAGGCGTCCAGAGAGGCCTCTCGGGGACAGGCTGCGAAAGTCACAGGTGAGATGGGCTTTCTCTGGGATTGTGTGTGGCCTGAGGACAGTGCAGCAAGGAGGGCCGTGGTGGCGCATGCAGCCGAAGCGACAGCTTAGTCTCCTTTGTGGGACAAGAGCCTCTCAAGGCCACTGCGGGGTGTTCAGAGAACAAGGCTTGTGAGGATCTGCTGTGCCACAGCTGGTCAGTAGAACACTGGGTGTGCAGGGCCAAGGTGGGAAGGAGGAGAGCCATGGATGAGGAGCCGGGCCTGCCCAGCAGTGCCTTTTGGGAGGAGCAGGCAGGATGGGATGTGCAGCTGTGACCTGCACTGGCATAGAACTCCTTCCGGCTGGGGAGGGAAGTCCCTTTTAGCCAGAATGGACCAGGAGGTCCCAGAAAGACCTGGGAGTAAGTGGATTGAGTTGGGCCTTAGAAGGAGGCCGGGAGCAGGCCAGGGGAGTTGGAGCCTGGCCAGGTATGAGAGAGAGCAGGGTACACTTGCTGCACCTGTGAGAAGAGCCAGGGTGGCCTGGTGGCCTGGCCCACTTAGCTGGCTGCAAGTCATTACTACAGGCTCTGGATGGAGAGTGCAGAGTATGCCTGCTGTCACTCCCTTCTCCAAGTCCACAAAGAGGCAAGAAAGGGAGGATTTTGACCCAATCCATACTGCATGGCTGGTGAAAGGAGCAGAGGAGCAAACAGCACTTTGGATCCTGGAAAGCAGAGGATGATGAGTGTCCAGAGCATCACTGACCTGAAGAGCAACTCCCAAAGCCAGCAGCAACAGCTGGAACTGCCTAGCCTACACCACAGGACCCCCAGCTCTGGGACTGAGCAGCACCAGGGACCTCTGGGCTGGGGTGGAGAGGGATGGCTGGAATCACTGTTACAAACAATATGATATTCAGTGAGCAGGCAGCTCCCTAGATTCCACCATGGTCTGCAGAGGCCAGCACCTGTCTGACACCTTTTACCGGCGGGCCCTGGAGAGCCATCTCCTACAAGAGGCAAAGCGAAGGGTCTGGGCCAGGACCAGGCCTGTTCAGGGGGGATGTGTGGCTAAGTGCATAAGGGTGCTGAGACTGTAGCCCTCGTGCCCAGGCAGTCCCCAGGGCATGGTGGCCAGGCCCTCCCCTTCCAGACCAGAAATGAGAAGACTCCATCTAATCTCATTGCATGACCAGGGACTGGTGAAGCTGTCAGTTCTCTCTCCATCCCAGCAAGAGCAACCCAACCTCAGAATCCCTCAGCAGGGACCCAGCCAGGCCACCCTCCAGAGCATCTCAGTCCTGCAAGCCTTGGTGTGCTTGGAGCTTCCAGTCACCCGCTCCACGCCTATCCATGCACAGCCAGGGATTGTCCTTCATGGAGGACAACTTCCTGAAACAAACAAGAAACAAGCTCCGTAGAACACAGACCTTGGAGGAAAAAGAAAGCTGTAGAAAAGATAGTGGACACCTTCCTTGGGAGGTGAAAGCCATCGTGAAAGGAGAGGAGGTTCTAAAAGTTCCTAGATAGCAAAATAAGGGCCCTTGGGAACACAATGATTGCCACCATGGAGACATTTCGGTGCCACTGGAGTAAAAACACTGCAGACGGGTGAACTCTCAACAGATAAATGTCCCTCACCACCTTTCTCAGGAAAGATGGGCAGAAATGAGGGCAGAAGCCACAGAGAGGAAACCATCGTGACAGGACCCAGGGTCCTCCAAGCTGCAGTGGAGCCAAGTGCTAGGGACAGTGGCTGAGCAGTTCAGCCAGGGTGGTGCTAACGCAGCCGTCTCGGGGCGTCCCGCCCAGGGCAGCAGTACAGCGACATGGATAAGCCGAATTCCCCAGAAGAGCCTGAGAACACTGAAGTACTTGGCATAGAGCCTGGGTTGGATTAAGTAGTACATACAGAATGATCCACGTGAAGATAAGGCGATTATTAGCCAGAGAAAACAGCAGTGCAAACGAAAGGTGGCTAGTCTTGGTTACGATCTGGCAATAGCGTTTACACAGTCGTCACGATAGAAATGCCGAGTCAGGATCTAGTTTACTGTAGAACTCTATCAGGAGGACTGGAAGATAGGGAATGCAGTTGGTGAAATGGAAGCTAAATGCTCTTTTTCCTCAGTGGGAAGGTGTGGCTTGAGATGATTATAAGCTCTTTCTGCCTCTTGAATCTTGCCAGGCTCGGGGGCTGCCAAGCTAATAATGTGGCAGAAGGGACACTGCCGGTGCAGGCCCGGGCCTTTGAGACCCAGCAGCTTCGTCTCTGAAACCCACCTGCCTTTCTGTAGAAGCCCAAGCAGCTCTGGAGAAGCCGCTTGTGGAGGGGCTGCTCTCCAGCTGCTTGACACCAGGCGGGCCCAGCCGCCAGACCCCAGCCTGCAAGCCAGGCCCGCTGAGGCCTCAAGGGCACACACAGGCAGTCCCATCAGCCCTGCCCAGATGGCAGTTTTGTGATCAAAATATAGATAATAGACTATCATTGTTTAAGGTTGTTTGGGGGTAGTTTGTCGCACAACAATAGATAGTAGAACATTAATAGACTGTGTGTGTGTGTGGCATATATATATAGCGTATATATATAGCTTAAAATTCAGA